AAGGATGCAATTTTTCTTCGTGTATGTTCTCAAATTGCTTGACAAAATTTGTTTCTAAATTATACACGTCATATCATTTGTTATCATAATGAAATTGTGCGAATATCAAATTACTTCCGTGTGCTATAAATAGATAGAATTATAATACTGGTTTCAGTCAAGTGAAAAGCATTTAAAGAGATGCAAGAAATAAGTTTTTTGCGATCTTTGATTCGAGGCTTTCGCAACGAAATTATGCAGAAACCAGTTTGTTTGCACGCGTGATTAACGCATAAGTCACGCTGAATGCGCGACTTGCACGCTTGTCTCAAAATAGACAATCTGATTTCTTATGGCTTCAAAATGTTCGTACTTGCAACCGATTTGAGAACATTCTATATATATTCTATATATTCTATATTATAGTGAGATATTCAAGAATTTATATCTCATGCAAGTTCATATAAATATTAATGACATAAACATTTTTTCCTAGTTATAAATAAAATTATCGATATGTCGACAAACTGGATTAGCTTGAGATCATTAATAATTATTTCACAATGTTTTCATTGATAGAATCTCGCCTACCATATGCATTTACTCGCACATTGAATATATAATTAATATTGATTATTATTCGAAAGATATTAAGCTGTATCTATCCATTAATATGCTCAGCCATTGTGACTCGTTTCACGTACAGTAAACTCAGGAATTCGACAGCTATCTTATCCACCCTTATTCACCCTTATTTTTATTTAAATAAAAATTAATCAAAATCAATAATGTAATTATAAACCTTTCTAACTTTTCTTGCATATAAATCAGCCTCATTTTTGCAATTTTTAACAATCCTTTATCCACCACTTCCGTTCAAAACCCGAATATCTCCCGATCGATTCACCGTGCGTGCGATTAATTCGCCCGATTCGATATCCATACCCACGTTCGTGCCACGAAAGGAACAGAACATCGTAGAATGATTCCCGTACGACTATCGGAATTAAAGTCCAATTCGGCCTAATCTGAAAGGGAATCAGAGGAAAATCCAGCGTGCTAGATCCACCGATAAACGCTTCAAAGTAATATTCTCCGCGGCCCGCGC